CCTACATAAATAGTTAGAAAACTTTATTACCTAATTTAATCCTAAGCCTGGTGTTACTTCGTAAAGAAGTTCATCTTAAAGTACGGATAGAGCTGAAAATTAGAAGAGGCTCATGCTGCTGTAGAAGTCTGTCTCAGCTTTTCATGGGTCCTACGATTTTATACCTCATCTACACACAGGTTAAGGTTAGCTTTAATGTATTTACCTCCTTGAAATGGTGCTTGTACTAAAGCACTAAAGCTGGATACTTAGGTGCAAAGGGTGGTTGGCGCATCCTCCTAAGAAGTCTTAGCTAGACCCTCCTAATGTACCAAACTTGTTATCTTCCTGATGCAAGTGTGTGGAATATCTTGTGGACTAGAGAAGTTCATCCTGGACATCCAATGGAACCATGGTACTTTTTCACATAGAGCATGGAAGGTTACATGAAACCAAGGGTGGAAGATTCAGCTCGTAGGCTACCCTTCCCATCTTTGCTTGTACTGGAAATGGACCTTATAGCGTGAGACTAGCTTCATAGGAGTTCTGTGGTGTATGAGAAGTTGTCTGCAAGAATGAAGATGGAGAAGTACCAGTTTAGCCACATCAAAAAGCTCACTGTTATCTTATGTGCATCATGGACATTTTCATGGTCATTTGTGCTCGCAAGAGGAGCTCTTAACTCTTGCTAGGGCCTGGTTATGATTGTTTAGTTTGTGATCCACAGTTTCCAACCTTGTATCCCTGGGCAGTGAGACAACAACTTTGTATCCCCTATCAGTTCTGGTCTTTGTCTTTCAGTCTTTTAAGGGTGTAAGTGGGTTGTGGGTGGCTCGTCAAAAAGGAGTTATGGGCATGGAGAGGCATCCACAACGATACATGCTACAACAAGTACTTAGGTTTTATTCTCTTCACTACCGTATGGGTCATTAAAAGGAAAGTAAAAAAGAACTTTTGAGGGTTTAGAATTGTCTCCTTATAGAATTAAGAATACTTGGTTCCGAAACTTAGATCTTTTGATAAAAGGTTATCGTCTTTATACCAGTGAAGACTTTAGGGACCTAATGGATATGTTGACATATTGTAAATGTTCTTATATATGGCTGAAGTCCCTTGTTGCTGGTTAATATTACATTCTTTTTCAGGAAAAAAAAAAGGACAGCAACCTCGGAGGGGAACAGCCATACATTACATCAAAGGGTGTAGTTTCAATAGAAGGATGAAAGCTAGTGCTTTAATAATATTTGGCCCCAGAGAGCCAATCCATGCAATATTGAGGGCGGTCACCTCACCTGTAAACCAATGAGGTGACATTTGTATTACTTGGTTAATCACCTCAGTTTAGCCATCTGTTTAAGAGTGGTAAGCTGAACTGAATTTAAAATTGGTACTGTAAAGAGAAAGGACTCCTTCTAAAGTATGCCCCTGAAAATTACACCATTATTGATGCCAATTGTCTCGGGAAGAGCACTAAGTTTAAATATGATTTAAAAGGTATGTGGAAGACACTCAGCCATATAGGGATGAGACATGGGAAAGAGTGTTTAGAAACACGATTCATTGCTACCAAGTGAATAGATTTACCATTAGGGAGTGAAGTACATAGGTATATCAGTTTAGATGATGTGCGGAACCAGTAGAGATTCAAGTAGTTTGGCTGGCTGCAATTTTTCAACTTTATGGTGCTGGCAGATGTGACTAGAATGCAGAAAATTTTAAATTGCATGTTTCTGGTGCCTCTGGGCCTTCCAGTGAAAAATCTTTGACAACCCTTTTGAGAGTCTTCTGATACCCTCATGCTCCATGCTGTATGTGGCAGATAAACAGGGAACTTATCTTTGTAAAAAATTGTGCTCCATGAAGTTCCTCCATTAGTTTTTTTATTACAGGAATAGGGAACTTATCTTTTACTGTCTTTATGTTTACCGCTCAATAAATCACAATCAATGTTCTGATCAATACCTGGATATTAGTCCCTCACCTATGTTTCTGTTGGTTGCTACTGTTTGCCCGTACACTTTGGCATTCCAGGCAGCTGGTTGTAGAGGTCCTTGGCAATGACTTGTATTTGGCAGCGAGCTCCTTCGTCATGCTTTTAACCCATGTGTATTCCTCTAGGCACATCTCCATGAAAATATGAAGCTGCTGTTGGAAAGATTTACAAAGTCTCCCCTGACAGCTGGCTCCAGTACCAAATTGGTAGAATGCTGTGATTGGATCTAGTCTCAGGACGACTATATACCAAATCATTCAATTAGATGGACATATGTTTATTAGATTTTTGCCCTTGTGGCTTGTTAGGGGCAGAGAACCCTTGATCTCCTTAAAGATTAATCTCAGTTAAGTTTTTTAATAGTTCAGATGATTTATTCATAGTATTTTGTACATACAGTAAATCACAATCAGCATTCTGATCATTACCTACATAAGTAATTCTAATTTAATTAAGTTATCTAATCCAAGGCCTAGTCTTTGTAAGAAGTTAATTTGAACATTGAAATATAATTTGAAAAATAAAAGGGTCTTATACTGCCGGAGAAATCTGAAGGTCAGAATGTAACTGGAAATGTGTTCCAGCATCAAATGTTAAAATGATGCAAGGACGAGTCATATTAGCTGATACATTTTGAGGCGTGGTGAATCACATCAATAGCATTGAATCACATCAATAGCATTCTATGTTCTTTATAAATTAAGTGGCTTCCATAACCATTGACAAATCTGAAAATCTGAACACAACTTGTTGAAAAATTGTATCTACTGATTTTTTTCTCAATATTTTGTTTTCGTGTAGACAATTAATAGATTAGGTAGTTTTCTTGATTTGCACTTTTTGGATTTGTAAATTTGGTTGACAGTTTCAGGCACCATGAGTAGCAGTGTTCATAAATGGGTCTGATATTTTGTGGTTATCCCTTGACAGGTTTATGCAGTCTCTAATCGCTAATGTTCCAATAATGGTGGCAGCAGGGGAACATGAGATAGAACAGCAAGCTGATAATCTGGCATTTGTTGCTTACAGTTCCCGTTTTGGGTTTCCGTATGAAGAAAGTAGTTCCTCATCCACATTGTACTATTCTTTCAACGCAGGGGGAATACATTTCGTGGTGCTTGGTGCTTATGTTCCTTATGACAAATCATGTAAACTCTATTTCAGCTTTTTGTTAGATTGTTTCCCATTAATTTCTTTCATGATCATTTTCATTTGTGGCATTGCTTTTGACTAACTTTTACTATTAGATAATGAATTAAAATCAAGAAGAATTAACTAAGACAAAACCACACGGAGACCAAAGTAACTTCTCCTTAACAACTATGATAATTTTTGTGTCACTGTAATCATATTTTTTCCTCTTTTGCTTTAACCTTGGTTGCAGCC